AGTCTCAAAGAACAAAATATTTGGTCGTTGAGGTATAATTTGCACCACACTGATAAAGGCAAATATCCCGGAACGCGTACATGGTTAACATTTCTTTTTTAATCAAGAAAATATATTTGATAAATTTTCTGGATAATTCAAAATAAACGATCAGTTGCTATGTATTCATCACCAACTTTTAGCTGTACGATTAGAAGACGCCTTTCTCTTTATATAATTATCATCCTGATCCCGGTTCAGTTTCACTTCTGTACTGTCTCTCTCTCTATATTTACATACAGTTAAACCTGTTTATCGCGCCCCCTCTTGGGACTCACCTAAATAGGGTGCTATAGAGAGGGGGTTCTATAGACAGGTCACTTTTAATGTAAAATGTTTACATTTTAATGTTTAAAATCGGTCGCTATAGAGAGGAAGGCGCTATTTAGAGGGGGCGCTACAGTTAAACCTGACTATAGCACCCCCTCTTGGGACTCACCAAAATAGGGTGCTATAGAGAGGGGGTGCTATAGACAGGTCACTTTTAATTTAAATCGCATCGTACTACGTATTTAAAATCGGGCGCTATAGAGAAGGAGGCGCTATTTAGAGGGGACGCTATAGACAGGTTTAACTGTATATGTTATGAATATAATGTTTTGTTGAAAAGATAGAGAAATGAAAGTGCAGTCGTGATAATAGGAAAGATAGTTATTTACTTATCAAGTAGTTTTATTTTCAATTACTCGAAACAAATTATACATATATTAAATATTTATCACAATTATATAGAATTTATAAAATGAATCCCTACATTAGTGAATTAAAAAATAATAGGTATGTTAACTATACATATTTACAACAATATTCAAAGTGCTATATTCGAAAACTATGGTCAAAAATGTAGAACAGTCAATGAATGGAAAAAAATATATATGTTTTAAAAAAATAAAATATTTGCATTTTAGATTGTATAATATACAGTTAAACCCGTCTATGGCGCCCCCTCTTGGGAATCACCAAAATAGGGTGCTATATAAATCGCATCGTACTACGTATTTAAAATCGGGCGCTAAAGAGAGGGAGGCGCTATTTAGAGTGGGGGCTATAGACAGGTTTAACTGTATATATAAAAGTCAACGTAAGTATGATTAATTCTTTATTTTTCCTTATAATATATATATATAAGTTCATTAAAATTCACCCAATCTGGCTGAAATTATAACTGGATATTGAGTTAAGAATCGAAGAGGTTTTTTGTTCACATTTTCATCCCAGTAAAATTAAGAAGTTTCCAATCAAATATAAATTGTTTATAATTATGTATTATAACCCGGCTTCGCCCGGAATTACCCCTGAGTTAATTTTTATCAATGAATTCTTTATTAAATATCATTTATTATGATTTTAAATATATTATTATCATTCTAAAGTGACAACCATCATGACTGGGTGAGTGCAAGAGTGTTGCAATTTTCAACCTACAACCCCAAACAACATTATTAACTATATTGACTCATCCATTGATGAACTCTACTCATCCCCAGCAGACACCATCAAAAGCCTCAAGCTTTATAAGCTTGATACACTAATATGATTGAGTGGAGATAAGAAAGAAGAAAAATATTTCAAAGTGAAATTATTTTTAAAATAAAAATTGGAAAATGAAACACAAAAAAAAAACACGATAATAATAGAAATAATTGTACTTTATTTGGTATCTTCTCAAGTGTACTAATTAGAGTGGTAGTGATATATTTATAATGAATAACATTTGTTAAAACAATATCATCCTGGAGAATATTCATTAGAAGAGAATTCAGACAACGCTTGGTCATTTAGAGTCAGTTTATAATAATTATTATCACTCATAACTCTCCAAAATATTTGCAAAATAGTTTGTTATTTAACACAAAGCAATAACGCGCCATCTATATATGTAAAATGAAAGGATTTAAAAGCGCAAATGTTTCTTTTATACATAATACAAACTTCTACTGTCCTTACTGCGATAAAAATATATTGGGAGGGCTTTGCTCATCAGTGGTGAACCCTCCCAGCGGTTTCGCCAATTTAATCCACTATACCGCTTCTCAGAGCTCTAATACTGTATTGGATGATTCTGCTTTTATACGCACACTGAAGAGATTCCACCCTTCAGTGCTGCGTATATAAGCAGAATCATTCATTGGCGAAACCGCTGGGAGGGTTCACCACTGATGAGCCAAGCCCTCCCAATATATATATTTTTTCGCAGTAAGGGCAGTAGAAGTTTGTATTATGTATGAAAGAAACATTCGTGCTTTTAAATCCTTTCAGTTTGTTATTTGTCTGATGAATAGGCTCTGAATATCCTATATCAGGGGTCGGTAAACTGCAGCTCGCGAGCTACATGCGGCTCTTTGGATGTAAAGCTGCGTGCAATACACTCATAAATACAAACTTTGTTTATGCGAGCATATATTATTTATTACAAAACTATTTTAGAGGCATAATATTCTTTTTAAAATAAAACAATTTCTACTGTCCTTACTGCGATGGAAAAATTAAAGGGAGGGCCTGGCTCATCAGTGGTGAACCCTCCCAGCGGTTTCGCCAGTTTAATCTACCATACCGCTGTTAGATTGCATTTTTGGAACTTCCTTTTATAGTTGACTGTTGTAAGACTCGAAGCATATTATATATTTATAATTATATTTAATTCTGCTGTCCTAAAAGCTTATGTCCATAGTTCTTCTAAAATACCCATTCCAAGAGTCTTATAACAGTCAACTATAAAAGGAAGTTCCAAAAATGCAATATAACAGCGGTATGGTAGATTAAACTGGCGAAACCGCTGGGAGGGTTCACCACTGATGAGCCAGGCCCTCCCTTTAATTTTTCCATTGCAGTAAGGACTGTAGAAATTGTTTTATTTTAAAAAGAATATTACGCCTCTAAAATAGTTTTGTAATTTGATAACAGATGGCGCGCTAGTGCATCGTAATATATTATTTATAGTTGGCAAGAAATAATTTTGTGGCTCTTTAAAAACTTTAAAATTTTGTAAATTGTAATTATTTATTCTTCCGACTCAAAAGGTTGCTGACCACTGACCTATATGTAAATCTATGCAGAATTTTCCAATGGTTTATATTCAGTAGTTTTGATAGAGAAGATTGACAAACATCAATTCATCTTGACAAGAATGAATTCAATAGGGAGTGGAGGTTTGTCTTGAAAATATTATTTAATCAAATATTCGTTAGGCAAACTTTCACTCGGGTACAAACAACGGGCGAAGCCAGGTATATTCTCTAGTATTTCATATAAACAAAAAGTGTTTTTCAATCATAAATACCCAAAATTTCAATGATCTATATTTATAAAAGTCAGCGTATGTATGTTTATTTATTTATTTATTCCTTATACGTTTCCCCTCAATATTTACTCAATCTGGCTGAAATTTTAACCCAGGATATAGAGATAAGTAAATTCGAAATTATTATAAACGCGTATGGTTCTTTTAAAAATTAAACAATATATACTGTCATTACTACAATCTAAAAATTAATGGGGGAGTTCACCACTAATGAGCCAGGTACTCCCATTAATTTTTCCATTGCAGTAAGGGCAGTAGTAATTTGTTTAATTTTTAAAAGAATCATACGTGTCTATAATAGTTTCAAAATTTCATGACAGATGGCGCGCTAATGCATCATAATAAAACGTTAAGTATTTTTATTTATTTATGCTTATGAGGTGATACAGCAGCGTATTTACAATTAGAGAGGAGACAAAATGAATTAAATCTAGAAAAAAGAAGTGAGGACATATCGGTCATTAAAATTTGAGAGGCATGTCCAGTAGCTGCTGTATTGTCCGTGAGGTCAGACGTACGGACCTCTGTGGTGTTGATCTCTTGGCGGAACGACTTGGAAGTCGGACTCGGGCCCCCCCACTGCGGCAAAGTGGATCAACTTCGGGGGGGGTTAAGTATTGAAGAGGTTTTTGTAACATTTCAAAAAGCAAAATAAAAATTATCCGAGTACTGGATTAATTTATTTAATTTTAGTCAGTATATAATGATAATAATATTTCTGTATCATTTTTAATGGTCAAAAATAATATTCTTTTGGCGAAACATTCCCTCGAGCAGAACACATAAGAATAATTTAGTCGTCTAGCGACTAAAGACGTTAATAGATTTCTGGATAAAATAGCTTTATTGAGCACTGAAAGTGGACTTAATCTGAACCTCAGGTAGACCCAAGCCTGTATATTCCAGTAGCGAAGAGTTTGTCTCCCACATGGTCTAGTGCAGGGTTGGCGAACGTGCGGCCTTAAGGCCGCATGTGGCCTTTTCTTGCCCAAGTTGTGGCCTTTTCATAAATTCTGTTCTGGATATATTAATTGAAGAATATAATAAAAGGTTCTCAGATTTTGAAAAACATGTTCTCACACTTAAATTAACTTTCGAACCACACCTTGTTGATATCGACGTAGCGCCCAAAGAATATCAAATGGAATTATTTGAGATAGGAGAAGATAATATCTTTAAATCACAATTCGATTTAAAAAAAGATCCTATTGAAATATGGAAGACTGCAGTTATTTATCCTCGTCTAAGACAACACGCACGAATAATTCTTTCATGTTTTGGAAATACATATTGCTGCGAGGCAACATTTTCATACATGACTCAAATTAAAACCCGCCTAAGAAGTCAAATAAGTGATGTTCATTTGGAAGATCAACTTAAATTACGTACCACGTCAATTGAACCAAATATTTCATTTTTTGTCATCCAATAAACAACCACAGAAATCCCATTAAATTTTCTGGATTGTAAAATTAAATGTCAATTTTTTTGAAATTTATTAATTGTATGTCATTTTGAAAAAATAAACTATTTAATTGCAAATAAAATTATGTATTTTAAATTTGTATATAAATCCCTTTAATTAAATCGTACATATATATATGGATGCGGCCTTCTCAAAAATGGTAAAATGAAAATTGGCCTTCTAATATAAAAAGGTTCGCCACCCCTGGTCTAGTGGCTAGGATACCTGTCTCTCACCCATGAGGCCCAGGTTCGATTCCCGGCGTGTGATTATTTTTTATGATCCCCTGGCCACCCATCCCCAGGCCCCTCCATCAGTGCAATGTATATAATGCTTTGTATATATTCCGCCTTATGCGTCCATCGGGGCTAAAAAATTATCCTTTCTGGTTAGCAGAGCCCGGTAAATAAAGATATTTCCGTAGCGAAGAGTCCCGATCCTGGACTAAATATTCTTAGCCAACCTATCACTATATTGGTATGTCCATCACCATTTTGGGAGTAGAATTCGACCAGACACGAGGATTTTTCTCTTATTTGTTCAAACTCCATTCGTAGAGAAGTCAAGAAAGTGTTCCACAATTTACTAATTCAATCTATAAGAAATTCGATATTTCTTATGCTGCTGGCATCAATATCTTTCGGTCGGTTGTGATTCCGGCCTTTCTCTACGGAGTGTCAGCCTAGGCTCGTCGCGCTTCCTCCAAGGACGTCAGTACCGGAGCATCCAGTAGACATTTGCCTGTCGGGAAGTCCTCTTGACATCATTATCCAGGCTCAAGGAGGGGAACTACGAATCAAAGCAGGAACCGACTACGATGCAATACTCCTCTTTCAGACATGCTCCTTTCCTTCAGTCTAAACCTTGAAGGGGTAACAATGAAGTTAATCTTCACAGATGGAACAGAAAGTGATTCAGGAATTGCTACTTCTCTTCACAAGAACATCAACTAGTTATTCAACTGCTTCGCCCAAAAACTGCACATTGCCTTTCAAGCTTAACTCATTGAAATTCTCTAGGATGCTCAACTAACCAATGCAGGAGTAGCTAGCTATTGCCTCAGATTGCAGATTTGCCTTAGTAGCTATCTGAAACTCTTGACCAATACGAACATTGCTAGTGGTGAAAATAATACAAGTGCTGAACAGAACTCCACACATTAAGCTGTACTGGGTACGCGGACACAGTGGAGTCAACGGCAATAAACGAGCAGACAGGGCAAAAAAAATGCGGCTACTTCTGTCCTACCACATTCATACTCCACCTTGCCGCAAACTCATTGCGAAAGCTATCGCATATGGCTGCTCTAGCCTCATGGACTGTAATATATAAATCCATATCTACTCGACCAGATTGCTCAAGAGAATTGCCTCCACTCAAAGCCATCTCCTGAAATTTCTACCAAATTTCGCAATGAAAAGGCCACCATCCACATCCTTATGGGCCATGGCAGACCTTGTACTTGGGCATCTTGAAAAAGATCCAACTTTCCCTCACTGTACTGAAGAACCACACTGAGACATAGAATGCATACAGCTACCCTACTTGGACTTACCCACCTCAACCATATATCTATGGCCAGCCTCTCAAACACGACTTCAGCATTGAACTTCCTAGTCAACTGGCTCAGCTCAGCAATTCACTCAAGACGCGATTAAAAGCGAGTGAGCTGGACAGCTTGGCGTTCTGCGCTTCAGGAACCTGGGTTATAAATCTCTCTCTCTTTCTTTCTTTATATATATGGGATCTTTTCCGGGAAGAAATTAATCCATAGAAGCATAGGGCACCTCTCCCGTCAAAACCTGACGCCATCTATTGACCGTCGCCGCAAACTAGCGGCCTCGGGTCGGTGACAAAGCCACAACAGCAACTTTGGCAAACTGAAAAAGGTTCACCTAGAGACCATGGTTTCTAGGGATATTGGCCCTAGAAACCATGATCTCTAGGTGGACACTTTTAAGTTTGCCAAAGTTGGTGTTGTGGCTTTGTCCCCGGCCGCTAGTTCGCGGCGACGGTCAATATACGGTGTCTAGTTTTAACGTTTATTTTGACGGGAGAGGCGCCCTATGTTTCTATATATATATATAAACACGTGTTTGTCTCTTGGTGATGAACAATTGGGAGGTAACAATTAAAACATTTTCGGAATGATTGTTCAGGACTTCAAAATGATAAATTACAAGTTCCTATCTTGATCCCCCTTGAGAATTTGAGAAAAACAAACTAAAAACTGATCTGAAATGTTTAAATATCACCATATCTATATTTTCCTATATATTTTTACAAGTCTTTAAAGATTTTACATCTTAAAATAAGCTCTGATCTAAATCAAGTAATTATACATATTTGAATCAAATGGGTTAAAGTTTTATTATTTAAAATATGATTCAATTAAAAAATGCCAAATAATTGCATTATCATCGCGAGTAAGCAAGTTTAAAAAAAAATTATATAAATGCCTTTGTATGACTTTAAGAGAAATGATGATATATAAGGTGTCAGATTTGATCATATATATTGAGATAATATTATATGTTCTCGTATGTGAAGCATTATATTTCAAATATCAGTTTTCAATTAATTTACATTATGTATAGTTAAAAATCTATAGGTGAGACCTAAAGTCTCAGATACATACTTTATTTTTAGTTTCATTAATGTATCATAATTTAGCATAGTTTTAAATGAATAATTTTCTAAAATATTGCATATTTTCATTATAAAATATTCCTTAAAACTTTCATTAATCTGTAAATTGTTTTCCTCGAATACACACAATACTTCAAAATTTGATTTCATTTAGCGACATTTACATACCAACCCTTTGTACATATTTAAATTGTGTCGATATTTTTTCTCTTTTCATCTAACTAACTTGCGCGCGCGCGCATACTAATTTTTGTACATATTTCAAATATCTTTCTTTCCTTTCAATGTTTAGCTAACCGTTGTAATGCAAGTGTCCCTAGGGAGACATAGCGCTCTTAAGTCGAAATAAAATTTAAAATGTAAAACTTTATAAAGCTCAGAAATCGCAGTCGTTCTAGACCCGTTCGTAGAACAGGCCAGTGTTCTAGTCTACAATAAATACTTTTTGTATGTGATGCATGATTCCAACTCAGAAATTTCTTGTAGCTCAGATTTATTTTTTTAGCGATTTTTCATGACCTAAAAGGAAGAAGAAATACAAAAAAATCAGGTTTCTCTTTCTCAAACCTCCTTGGAATTTCCAGAAAAGAACTTCAAAATTCAATATAAATACTAATTTATATCTTATTACTTTGATAGGTTAAAATATAATCATGTATATATTTTCTTTTTATGTTTTTGAAACTTTTTTATTTTGTATTAATAGATAGAATATATATATATATATATATATATATATATATATATATATATATATTCCCAGGACTGCACGACAGATCTCTAAGAAATCCCTCCACTTTAAACGGTCTCTCGAAATTTCTATCAAAGTTCCACCATGGAGAGACCACCATAACATTTAGGAAGGACCATAGACCGTGGGTCACCTTCTCTTCAGCTATCCGGCTTTGCTGAGACATAGGATGCAAACAGCTATCCTGCTTGGACTAATCCACCTCAACCTTATATCTATGGCCAGACTTCCAGACATAACCTTAGTATGGAACTTCCTAGTGAACTGGTTCTGCCCAGAAATCGACCTATGACACGGTTAGGAAATGCTTAGCACTAGTCCTTACTCTAGTAAGCTGAACATCCCGGGTAGTAGGCGTTCTGTACGTCTAGACCTTGTATTGCACAAATATCTCTCTCTAGTATTTTGTCGCGTATATCAGCCTCAAAACACCTACTACCTCCTCCAATAGATGACGCTTTGGCCTATTTCTAGTTCGGGACTAGTGTGGCAATCGTCTACTGCTGTGGTCCTGTTTCTTGGGGCAAATAATTGTAAATATCCGTTTATATTGGCTCTGGGATATAAATACCTGTAAATACCCGTTGGTTGATATTTGAAGTTCTTATGTAATGTGGATTAAAGATACATTAAAAGAGGAGTGTTAGCAAACTTGTTGCCAGTTGTTGTTGTGACCCTCTCCAACCTATATGATAGCTACTCTTCTGGTAAGTCTCTGGTGTCCTCCCACCAGTGGTAAGGCCGAGAGATACTGCCAGAGGGAAAAGAGATCCACCTGAGTGGTGATTCTCAGAGGGTCTTTAGGTGGTCTGCGGGGTATGGCTGCAGAAGTGAGGCAACGGAGCCGGGTTAGGTGATCCACGGAGGAGGAAGCGGCGTGTCGCGAAGAACCGGAGGGGATACGCGCGACAATATATATGAAATAGTACAAATGTGATATTGTACTGGGATAAGGTGCATAAATTAAGAAAAATACATCTCCTTATCCTGCAACTAAAAGTTGCTGATGGCTTGCGCCATCTATCGGAATAAATATCAACTATTCTCGTTGATTTTTAATTATTCCAGAATTGGCCAAGCCATCAGCAACTTTCAGTTGCACGATAAAGAGATGTCTTTTTCTTAATTTATGCACCTTATCCCAGTACAATATCATATTTGTACTATTTTTTCACTTTGTGTTGCGGTCTCACGCAATTCTGGCCTTAACTACCCGTTTCATGATTTTTCAGGATTCCTGAATGACCAATTTTTTGGTCGTTGAGGTATAGCTTGAACCACTCTGATGAGGGCCAACAGCCCGAAATGCGTCCGTAGTTAGCTTTTCTAGGTTAATCAAGAATGGGTATTTGGTCAATTCTGGAATAATTAAAAATCAACGAGAATAGTTGATATTTATTCCGATAGAAGGCGCAAGCCATCAGCAACTTTCAGTTGGACGATAAGGAGATGCCTTTTTCTTAATATATATGTTATGATGGAAAAAAAATTGTTTGATTTTGGAATTGTTGAGATTATCTTGATTTTGGTTATCTTGAGAATTAAGCTATGCTGGTGCAGTCGTGGTTGAATAATAATCTTGATAAAAATAGTCTTGATCAGATATTGTTTTAATTGAGTTAAAGGGATATAGAAAATAATATATATATATATAAGGTTGTCCCAAAAGTTCGTGTTTCTCTTAAAACGTTGTTTTTCTTATAACTTACTTTCTTATAACTAATAATACATAATACAAAGACATTATACATAACGGCAAATAATATTAAGGCGATTAATATTGGTATTTTTTTTTTGCAAGTATTTACGAACTTTTAGGACAACCTTGTATTAGAGTTATTCAAAAATATACTATTTTTGTTTTAAAATG